TGCGTACCGTAATGTGGCGTGGTAATTATGTTCGGCAGCTTTTCTCGCCTCTGTTCTCCCTCCATCGCTTTTCATTTTTGAGTGGTAATAATATGAAGAGGGTTAAGGATCCATTTTGACACTGGTGTCAGCAACGATGTACCAAGTGTCCCTCAGGGTCCACAAGTCATTACTCTATACGCCCATTCTGCAACAGTTTAGCTTCTGAACAACAGCCAGAGGCGATATAACATTTATGCGGGCAAAAACACATCTTTATTTGACACATATGGCCTGTTCGGTTCTCCTTATCCACCAGAAAAATAAGTACGCACTATTTAGGGTAGTCTTACTCAGCTGGACTATTCTATAGCATATTTTTAAACTAATAAAAGTAATAGCTTCGCCCTGAGTCTGGCAACGTGAGAGACGCTTATTAGCATATTATCCTCTCGTGGGCTCTTTTTATAGACAAATTCTGGCTAAGGCCGGGAGTTTTCTCTAGGATGTATTGAAATTGGATAGGCCTATTAGGTGCAGGCTGAGATAGTTTGAGTTGAACTTGTTTTCGAGGCTGTAGACTATTCCTCACGGGCTCTAACGACAAGACGCGTTGACCCGTCCTTTAGTCTTAATGGATGTAGACAGGTCTGTGAAAAAGGATGCTATCTTTGCAGTCCTGCCATCTGTAAAGAACTTAATCAGAGCCCCTGACTAAAACAAATTAACCTCCATTTGCTTAAAGAACACTGCAAGACCCCTTCAAACTCTTTACAAGGTAAACAAAGCACTTTAGGCAAATTTGGATCATTTGATTCTTTGGAGAATTATCTTCAGTTGCTATGTGGCTGCTCTGTTCTCTAACCCAGAGCACATAAGAAATTAGCCTGAGGCAGATCTTGAGCAAGTCTAAACCTGCACTTATGATTGAACAGGAAATGCACTGCCTGTTCCCTAACTACCTGTTCTGAGCAAGTCAATCATACAGAGCCATCAAACCCTAGTTTTATACACAACAAAGGTGACACTTTACAAGAAGCTTAAATTTGTTAACATTAGTAAATGTATTTGTTGACACAAATATTTAAATGCAGTCATCATTTACTCACCCTCATGTTCCAAACCTGTATGACTTTCTATCTTCTGTGGAACTAAAAAGAAGATATACCGTTATATTTGGGCGAACTAGCCCTTTATTTTATCAATTAAATTATTGATTCATCATAATACCTTGTTCAAACTACTAATGTTTATACACCTTAAAAAACGCGTAGTAATAAGAATTAACCAAGCTGTAAATGTACTGTCTGTTGTTATATGTCATATTCCACTAACTAAAGTATAAAAACTGTTAGCATAATACATGTATACAAGTAGGGAAAAGAAATGAGGCAGCCACATCACAGTGATATTAACACAAATCAGGGTGTTGTCAGACATAATGTGGCGGTAATGGCAATACGATAAAGGTAAATACAATAATCACATTAAAGAAGTCGTTAAGTAATATAGTTAATTACTATTAGTAATAAGCCTAATCATGGTGTTTAAGAGTGCCAAGCAACTTACACATTTAAAATTAATTGATTTATCTTGTGTACAGCTGCTTAAAATAAACAACTCGACCGCTTAGGTTTCAGAGCTAAAAACAGTTTTATAAAATGAAAATGATATTTTGCAGAATTAGAACAGCCATCATTCTCATAACCCTACACATTCTCCACCTTTTAGGCTAACTTAATTTGAATAATCTCTGCTTTAATACATTTTAATACATTACATACACCATGGTTAACTACCTTCCACATTACAATTCTGCAGATTTTCCCTGAAAATCGGAACAGAAATGGACTTTTTAAAAAAGAGAGAGATTCCGTCTGGACCTGATAATGAAACACAAATAACACCTGTTGGCAGTGCTGCATGTTTAGACTGCACAACCTGCATTAGGCTGTTTGTTTCATCAATATATTCTACAACACAGAAAAATAACTCCAGGTTTTCATCCATTTGTCTTCCATTTGAGCAGATGTACAGCACAGAGCTGTTTTGATCCAACAGCTGCAAAATAGCATCAGGGTCAAAATGGGCACATTCAGCATAATGCCTTAACATGCCCTGCTGTAAATGAATGGTCATTAGCCAATACAAAATGGCTTAAATATGAACTCTATCACTGCCACATGGGTGCCCCCTCATCTGGCTGACATAGGGTGCCATCTGCCTGCTGGTGTTTCAAATGCCTGTGTGCCAGTTCAGTGATTCCCGTTGATCTAATCTGCAACTGCTTAAACAGAGACCCTTGAAACATAGGAACTTGCATATAAGGAATAGTTCACCAAAAAGTTAAAAGTCTTTATTCACTATCATGCGGTTAGGAATTGTTTTTTTTCTTCTTCCGTGAAACACAAAAGGTGAGACCTTGACATTTTTTTTTATTTTAAGGCGAGTTGTCCTTTTAAGTGAATATGAGGTGTGCTAAAATTCTCTCTCTCTCTCTATATATATATATATATATATATATATATATATACTGTATATATGTATCACTACTTTCTGTTTGTCTACAGTATAAAAAGGACTTATACCCTACTGCTGTTTTCCCCCCATATCGGTTTAGTTTCTCCCTTTCCGCAATCTCTTCGTTATGAGCTGAGACATGTTGCCTACTTAGCTCCCACACAAACACAGATGTGTTGGGATTTAATTATGGCATCAATATCTAGACCACTAGATAATGTGCAACACTCTAGTGGGCTGTTTGGCCATAATATTAGCTTTTTCCAATTAGCGCAGAGTTTAAGTGATGTTTAAGTGATAAACAATGTGTGTGCAGAGTAATGCTAATAGGTGGCCAAGTGCTTGATATTTCTATTACTGTCAGGCTAATAAAGCTGAATGAGGAATCTCCCAAGAAGCTTCAAATGTTTCACTCATGAATGACAGTTAGAATAAATGGATAAATAACATTGCACCAATTAAGAAGCTGCTATAAACGTACTACTTTTAAATCCATTAGACCAATATTTTCCATTTGTGATTTTCCAGTAAGATGAAACATTTCAAATTAAAGCACGAAATAAAAGGCTATGAAATGGTGCATAAATATTTTGGGTCTTTTATTAGATACACCATCTCACTAAACATGTTAATTATAAATGACCTGTTCTTGAAAATCTGCTCTAGCATAAAATAACTTTCTGTGATGTTTGTTAATATTTATTGAGGAAAGTCAAGACATATCCTCCAATCTCACTCTGGCAAGAGGCCCAAACATGGACACATTCATGGAAATCATTATCTTTTTGTGTAATCACACGCATATCTGCTATTGTGTGCTGAGAGCAGCAGTTTTTCGCTCTTTGGTACATTGAACAGACAGTGCCGAGTGTTGAAAACAGCCAGAAAGCTCAACACCGCCTCACACACTCATGCCACATTCAGCCTAATACATTTTGGATACAAGTAGTATTGTTATGGTTAATGATAGCTGGCTTGTCTTGGTCGCTTACTTTTTTTTTTTTTACCAAGAAATGGTTCATTGGTTGATTCACAGTTCAGGAGATACGGACACACATTTATAAATACCTGTAATTGTGCCGATAACTAGCAGGGCTCAACAATAAAGATGGATCAGTATTGTTTACAGTAGTTGATATAAATGTATAGTTTTAGTAAAATTATTATTTGTAAAAATTTATTTATATTATACTGTATATTAAAGGGGTCATATGATGCTGCTATAAGAACATTTTGTATATTTGGTGTAATGAAATGTGTTTATGCGGTTTAAAGTTCAAAAAACACATTTTCCACATACTGTACATTATTGTTTCTCCTCTATGCCCCGCCTTTGTGAAACACGTCGATTTTTACAAAGCTCATCGTTCTGAAAAGCGAGATGTGCTCTGATTGGCCAGCTATCTAGTGCGTTGTGATTAGCCGAATACCTCAAGCGTGTGACGGAAATGTTAAGCCCCTTACCATATTGTGATGCCCTGTATGGCCGGAGCGTAACATAAAAACATGTCTGCATTTGTGATCGGAGAAATGACAAACAACAAGCGCTACTCTACACTGCCCAAAACTCACGTTTGAATCGTCAGTGGCAAATTCTTTAAATATAAAAAACGTACTTACAGTCTGTGAGTCAGAACAGCCGGCATTGTAGTCTACTCTACCAGGATCAGGAAACAGTCCTCCATAAAATGTGCTGCACACATCTGAATATTTGGGGATGAAGTGTTCTGGAACAGTGTTGTAAATACAACTTAACCACTGATTTCTAGTCGTGTCCTCTTTTGGAAGGCCAAACAAAGTTTCGCTTTCACAACGAAACACCGCGTCGGCGGCTAGAGTGAGGAACGGCCGGTGGGCTGAGTGAGAGGAGACCGGTGGGCTTGAGAACGGCGCGGCCGGAGGATTCGATGAAGGAGTGGCCGGCGGGCTTGTGGCAACCACATGTGACGACCCCGTGCTGGACTCCGCTTCGTCCACGGTGAAAGCCGATCCGGCGATCCACAGCACGAAGTTGTATTTCCTCAGCGACCAGCACGGATCAGCTCTAACGGATATCGTCCTCTTTTGCAAGGCCAAACAAAGTAGTTTCGCTTTCACAACGAAACACAGTGTCTCCACGGCTTGGTGGTGGCAACAATACTACAATGAGAAAAAAAAATTACGCCTTCTTTCTTTGCGTGAACATTTGGGCGGCGTTATGCAAATCTTCCCACATCGTGACGTAGACATGTGTGGGCATGTTAGAACGAGCCATTTTAAGTAGGCGTGGTTGAATCTCTTTGGATTTGAGACTTTAGTCTTTGCAACTTTACAGATCTTCTTTATGCACCAAGAGCTTGTTACACTTCCAAGAGAAAGGAAAAATTGAAATCGCATCAAATGACCCCTTCAATACAATACAGTTTATAATTGTATAAATATTATATAAATATACAACAACTATAACAGTACACAGGAATAACTTTGGAATCATAAACAGAATGTTATTGTGTATTGTTATGGAAGCTAATATAGGCCTAATCATCATAGTTATCTTTCTTGGTGTGAATGGGCCTTTACTGTTGAGCCCTGTCTAGTTCGATTTATGATTGTAAAACCGATTGTAACTGTTCAGTTGGCCCATGATAGATAACACCACCTGGCTAACTTTTGAGCGGAGTCTCCTGTTTTAGAGGTTACAAGTTAACCATGCAGCAGAGCTCTCCGACAGTCTGGGCTCACGTTGGCGGTAGTGGAACAGGCTGGTGGCGTCTAAATCGCTGGAATACCTGATAGCTTCTGCAAACAGCTTTACAACCTGCAGAAAAGGAAAACAGGTGTTTAATACTATAGAACAAAACTGAATTATGATACATTTAAAAGAGAAGGCTGACCTGGAAGTTTGTTATAAGTGGTACTCCGTAGTCCACCGCCATTCTGCGGATCTGGAAGTTGTCCTTAAGAAACTTGGTGTTGTTATTAGGTAAGTTGACCACAAGGTCAATGTGTCCTTCACTGAGAAGTCTATTTAGAAACCAGAAAATGGAGTAATCCATAAAAAGTTAGCGATTTCAAGTAGTACACTTAGTAATTTTTTGGTGCCCATAAGGCAACCCTTTCAATGCAAAAATAAACTAGATTTTATTAGGCTACTACAAGTTGATTTTCATGTGGGTGCACATGATTTTAAACATATTTCAAAAGTGCTATACATTATTTAGGGTATACGCCTGTATACAAGTATCAAAAATGTTAATCATCTACTCAAATTCAAATCAGACACCAAACCTTAAACTGTGAACCCAAGTCTTAATAATGTATGTGAAGCTGTGTTAAAAGCGCCCTCTGATTAGTTATAAATGTGATCAGCTAAATCTGTGATCCATCTTTAGTAAACATCTCTTATTACAACAAAACAGTGTAATAAGACTGCAACCCTTGAGGGTAGATGGCAGACATACTTGAAATATCTCAGCATGGAGTGTCTAGAATGCACTTTCAGTGAAGGCATTTTGCTACGACAGAGCCGTGCACCAGAGCAGAATGCTAACATAAGTGACACAAAGATGCCTGAATGCCTCAAAGGTGACTGGATCCTCTGTTGACAGACTTCAAGGGTCTCACGACAGCCGATCGGTGACTGTCACAGCTAAATGTTTCCGGTAAACAAAGCCAACAATCAGGGCATGAAAGCAGTACTATGTAATACAGCATGCAGCGGTAGTAGTATGTAATACTAATATGTGGTCATATGCAGTACTACTATAACAGTAGTGATGCTACTAAATTTTCATTAGCATGACAGTGCTATAACGGATTCGAATGAATGCTACACAAATGTTTGGGATCATAAAAAAAGTTAACACTTTAATTTAAGGACACATTAAAATATTTAAAAAAGTGACAACAAGGACATTTATAATATTTCTATTTCAAATAAATGTTGTTCTTTTGAACTTTAGATTCATCTAAAGTGTATCACTGTCTCCACAAAATATTAAGCACCACACGTTTTCAACATTTAAAATAAGAAATGTTTCGAGCACCAAATCAGCATATTAGAATGTATATATTAACATATTCTGAAGGATCATGCAACACTGAAGACTGAAGTAACAACTGCTGAAAGCTTTCAAGTTTGTCATCACAGGAATAAATTACATTTAAAAATAAAGGTATAAAACAGTTATTTAAAATAGTAATAATATTTCCCAATATTTTTGATCAAATAAATACAGCTTTGGAGAGACTTATTGAAAAAAAAAAACCCTACCAACCTCAAATGGACACATTAAAATATTTAAAAAAGTGACAACAAGGACATTTATAATATTTCTATTTCAAATAAATGTTGTTCTTTTGAACTTTAGATTCATCTAAAGTGTATCACTGTCTCCACAAAATATTAAGCACCACACGTTTTCAACATTTAAAATAAGAAATGTTTCGAGCACCAAATCAGCATATTAGAATGTATATATTAACATATTCTGAAGGATCATGCAACACTGAAGACTGAAGTAACAACTGCTGAAAGCTTTTAAGTTTGTCATCACAGGAATAAATTACATTTAAAAATAAAGGTATAAAACAGTTATTTAAAATAGTAATAATATTTCCCAATATTTTTGATCAAATAAATACAGCTTTGGAGAGACTTATTGAAAAAAAAAAAACCCTACCAACCTCAAATTTTTTCATCACAAATTACCAAAACTATTAGTTACAGAAAGTTTGATAGCCTAATATTTAGTTTTCTCAAATGTGAATGAACATAAAATGGGAAAAAATGATGTATTATGTATTTATTAATTAGATATTTAAATTTTTTATTGCAATTTATGATAATACATTTTATTTATATACCACTTTTAATAAACATTTTTTAATATTTTATTTGAATATTTATAGCAATTGAGAGCCATAATAAAAATTAAATGAAAAAAAAAAAAGTCAAAGTACTCACCTGCTTATGCTGGGTAAGGTTGTATTTTTGGTTTCATGGCTCGGCCAAGCAACAGGGATTGTTTGAACATCATTAGCATTGAGCCAAGCTGATGTACCCTCTGTGGCAAAGAGCTAAAGACAAATACAGAAGCATTTTTTTTTATCAATGCAAGATGTAATCAGAGTGTCTGCAGCTGTTTTGTTGCTGCATGATTTAATTTAACTCTAACTCAAACCCAATGAAGTGGATGGAAATAACTCACCTTAAAGCCCTCCTCGTGAAGCTGATGAGCAGTGGACATGAAGTTAGGCCTGAATGAATGCTGGAGACAAAAACGTAAAATAACAACTGAGAAAGCAGAAAGAAAAAGATAGCCGGACAGAATAAAAACTTCAAAGCCAAAAGGTCAGGCAGTCTGTGTGGATGGGTGCAGAGCAGGAGACTATTTCTAGAAGAAAAGTCTTCCTCTAAGCACTTCCAGATCAATAGCGCAGCTCTGTGTTCACGGAGACTTAACCACGGGCTGGTAATCAGGCTTTAAAAAGCATGTCAGATCTGCAGTCCCCAGGTATGGCCATCAGGCAGGTAGCATCTACAGAACCGGGGGTTTGTTTCGAATGGGAATTTCATGCTCTCATTCATACCCGAGACTCCATTAGAACACAGTGCTGTCTGAGCATCGTCAATGACCCTGACAAGATATTTGATTTCCACGCTGAGAATGGGCATGAATCGTAAACATCTGAGAGAGCACAGGAGGAAATGAAAGAGGGCATGCTGATGATGATATTACATCAAAACATAAAACAAAGCCTCTGAATTCCAGTGTTATAGTCAAGGCTTAAAATGTGTGAACATCACAGTTACACCAAAGGAAGATGCACAATAAAATCATTTTGCCCATAAAAAACCATTTGAGGAAACAGATCAGAAAGTGCATTTTATTTTAAGTATTTAAGAATTTATTTATAAAGCCTGTTTTATACAGCTCGTGCCTGCATCACAAGGTTGTCGCATTTCATGGAGTAACTTTTTCCAGTGAATATGTGTCACAGTATTCACCCCTTCGGGATGGTTATACATTTATGTGCAGCTTTTGGGAGATTAACATGCAAAAACGCAACTTTCTTATTTTAGTAGTTTTTTATGGATAATAATCAATTTTTGAGATATGTGGCTTCACATTTGATGAGGAAAATTTAGATCAATCAGTTCCAAGTAGTGCACTGAATATATGCATAATATACATTCAGATGAATTGCCTGTCACGACTGAATAATTGTCCAATTGTGGTTGTTTGATCCAAGTGCTTAAGATATTATTATTTAAGATACTGTCAATTATTTAATGACAGTAATTGTGCCGTTTAAATGTCGATCTCAAAATGTCAGTTCATACCAAAAAAAGGTTTCGGAGTTGAATCAAACTGCTTTGTATTATATTATATTATAAATTTGCCTTAATTGTACATGAATGCAAAACAATATTTGCAAGCTATGGTGGAGGGCAAGACTTTCAGGAAGAAACATCCTAACTTTCAGTCTGTTCAGAAGACTTAGAATACAGTGCACAAGTAATATTGACCATTTTCATAATGCTATTATGGAGCTATTTGTAATTTTTGTAGCTTGACAAACCTGGTTGCCATTCACTTTCAGTGTATAGAAAAGAGCAGCCAGACCTCACAGTTTTTAACAACGCAAGGGTGAGAAACTAACAGAATTTTTACATGTCAATTCTTAAGCATAAATGTGCACTAAATATATTCAGGAATTGATTTCCTACTTGAAAACCTCATATTATAGCGTTTATCATTTTATGAGGAAATAACGACTTGCAAAAAACCTGCTCTAACCAAAACAAGCCAGAAATGTTCATGTTCTACTGAGTAAATCTGAGAGGATGTGATGCAGACAATCCTCTGAGATTCAACCCTTAAGGAAAGAAAGAAAAAAAAAAGTTTCTCCCTCACTTGAATCCCAATGAGAATCCCCTTCTGGGGAAGCTTGAATCCTGTAGAGAGCATGGCCTTCAGGAAGGCAGAGTAGATGTTTGGTCCAAAGCATGCCACCTGCAAAGAGAAAAGACAAGAGAAAAAACAAGAGCAAGAAAGAAATATCTTGATCTTTAAGATCACGAGCAAATCTGCAAATATTCATCACAGCATGCAGAAACTCCTGGATAAATTATTCATTTATCTCCATTAGCACAATATTCAAAGCCAAGGTGAAATAAATCAAACATATTAAAGATGTTGCTGAATGAAGGTAGACTGGTGTGATATTACGATTATGAAAAAACGGACAGAATGGGGCCATCATAAAATCTGGGGTGGAGATATTGTACTTCCTGTTCTAATGCTGGAAATCAGTGCTGCACGATAAAAACGCTCCTCCTGCTTCATTGTCCTCCAGGCTGGTTTCTATGGTTTTCTCGTTGCCAGGGAAAGCAGGTAAACCGGCCCGTGTGGAAACATAAAAATACTCTTTGCTGGATTTGGATGGGAAAACTAGGAAGTATGTGTCCATGAGAGCCACTGAACTAATAAGGCTACAATTGTTAACAATATGTAAATATTTATCCCTGACGGTGGGACTGCTCCCCAGCAACCTGAGATGAAAACACAAGCTGGGGACACTTCAGATTTTATGACAGATGTAATGGTAATCAATGTGCCTGAAGCAGCTCCATACCTCTCCGGTGGAGGCCATCTCACAACGCAGGACAGGGTCAGCTTCTCTCAAGCGAGGCCAGGAAAACATAGGAGCCTAGCAAAGAGTATAAACATATTCAATTTCAAATAGAGGTCTTTCAATATGTTTTTTTTAACTGGCTGAAGCATATACATTACCATTCAAAAGTTTTTAAATGTTTTTGAAAAAAAGTATCTCATCATCAGGGCTGCATTTATTTAATAAAAATACAGTAAAAACAGGATTATTGTGAAATTATTACGGTTTAAAATAACTTTAGATAGACAGACAGACAGACAGAAAGTTCAAATGAACAGCATAAACAGCATTAAAATAACCCTTTTTGTAACATTATAAATGCCTTTCATTTATTTATTATAATAATAATCTTACCCACCCCAAACTCTTTAAAATGATATATACACACAACTTATAACACAATTATGAATTATGTTAACAAATAAAATGTACAACAATTGATTTATTATACTGCTGTAATATCAAAGCATTTAGAATGATTTTGCTACACATGCAGAACTGCAAAAGAAACCGTTTTCTATATATTTATGCAACTTAGTAGATGCAGGCTTCCATTTATTTAGAAAAGCCATCTGATACAAATGCTGTTTACTTCCTGACACTTATCTGTGAAGCATTATTGCTCAGTGCTTATCACGCATCCTGGGAACAAGAAAGCGAGAAAATGTATACAAGCCTAATGAAAGTCTAATGTTACAATTTTTTATATAGGGTTAATGGTTTCAAGAGCATTTGGCATGTTAGGGTGGTTCTCACCAATCAAATGATATTATATGAGAACTTCTCATATGAAAGTGTATGAGAAAATGGTAAACCTGCTACACCACTGCCACCCACAGGCCAAAACATTAGCGGACCTGATTCATCCACACCAGGGACATTAAAAACATCAGTTTGTGGAAGAGACAACAAACTCGAAGGACACAATGAAATGACTTAAATTGAGGTAAACAACCTAACATAACATAAGCAGAACACATATTTCAAAGAAGAAGAAAAAAGATGCTGGATGGATTTGGATAATGGGTGCTACTGACTGTCGGCTTATAGAACATGGTGAGACTGTTAAAGTTAAATGTTTTGGAGCGTTTCAACTTCTATTCAAGCAGTTCTCAAGTGACGGGGCAAGCAGATTGCCCTGTGAGAAGTGACGTCCTTATCTCTCCAATTAAAAGCAGACAGCTCCCATTAGCTGCACAGGGGACACAGGACGCAGATTAACACGCCACCCCAGCCATCACTGCAGAGCGCCACCAGGAGGAACTCATCCTTGAAGCCATCTAATCAGCCCTGGATAAGCCAGCCTCACTTACGCATGTAAATGCGAGAGAAGGCCGCACCGGTGGGAATAAACACAAGCAGCTTTGAATCGTTCTGGTATGGAAGCACTGTTGGCTGTTAATGTGGCAGGAATCCCAGTGGGCACCTCCACCAGGCTGAACTGTGGAGGTGAAGGACACTACTACTTCTACTACTACTATTATTCCAAACCGGGCACCGTTCCAGAGTCAGTTCATCGTCATAGCAGATACATTATTTACTACTGAACCCCCTGAGGATTCACACTACCCTGCGAGGAGAATCCCAGAACATGAAGTAGCAAAGAGTGGTCTTCCCTATTACCAATTTATAGAGCTTCCTTTAAAGGCCAGTGGTTGGCATGGAAACCAGGCCTTCCTGGTCTCAATGGGTCACTGCATACATTACAAGAGGAAAATTGCAAATATTGTAACCAACAATCACATTGTATAATACCAGGAGAAAGATGTAGAAAAATCAATGAGCAATTTTGTATTGGATCTTTAGAGGGATATCTGGATCATCTTCGACCGATTTCACAAAAACATGGTTCTGTGGTTAACGCGAGGAGCAGATTCCCGAACAAGGATAAGCACTTTCATGAAACACAAAGGAGTGTGTCCATGTTCTCTGAAAAACTCTTATATGCTGACCTTCTTCCAACAGCAGTCTGTGTAGCTGAGGAAGGCAGTACAGACTTCACATTTGGGGCTTGTTAGGCAGGAAGAGCACGGTTTCGCAGATGTTACCCAGCTTGACAAAAGCAGAGGAAATTTGAAGCAGGATAATGTACCGATGTGGACCGTCATATTTATTTATATTATCCTGCATATGACTACTCTGACAGAATTGAACTCTGTGCTCAATTAATTTAAGGTCCTTTTATCTTTACCACTGATTTGTACTTTTTCTTTGGTGCCACAGATCTGTTCACTCTCAATATGCCATACAATAAAGAAAGGGAAATTATCAAATATTATGTATACATTACTGTTTAAATGTTGTCGTCTGTAAGATTTTAACAAAGTCTCTTATGCTCACCAAGCCTGCATTAAGTTGACACATACAGTAAAAACAGCAAAATATATTCTGACATTATTGCAGTTTAATATAACCGTTTATATTTTAATGTATTTTCAAATGGAATTTATTTTGGTTATGGCAAACTTGAATTTTCTGCAGCCATCTTCAGTCAAATGATCCTTCAAAAATCATTCTAATATGCTGATTTGGTGCTCAAGGCTGTCCACACTAATACTTTTTCTCTCCGTTTTGGCCAACCGTCTACACTGAAACAGCGTCTTTGTCAAGGAAAATTTTGCTTTTTGAAAACATTCTCCAAAGTGGATACTTTTGAAAATGCCATTTTTGCGTTGTAGTGTGGTCTATGAAAAGGAGGCTTTTGAAAACGATGACACATTTAATCATGTGAAACATATTGTACCAATAAATATCTATGTTTATACCGGTATTGTGCCTAGGGTTGGGTACCGAAACCCGGTAACAATATGGCACCGGTACCTACGTACGTAACCGGTATGTACTAGAACCGAATCAGAATGCAGATTTCAGTGCCTCATTTCGGTGCCATACCTGAGCAATCGATTGAAATATTTGTCCTCTGGTTCTCCAAAACGGACGTAAGAAGCATCATCACCAGCACCGCAAGTGAAAAATTATTTCCCGACTGAGAAAATGCACGTGAACTCAAGTCAGAAAACTGTAATAAAAACTGTAATAAAATCTAACAAATCTTTGTAGTAACGAGAGTGTCCGTGTTGTTTTCACATTCCGACTTAAAAGCACAACTCGTGAAATGAGAGCATCCGAGGAGTGTGTGAATTCAGTAATTACACTTGCTCTGACGGCAGCAGGTAGCCTTCCGTTAATGAAGCTAAACATGCTTAAATTAAAATGCCTAAAGCTAAACTTCCCTTGTATTCACATTTCTAAAAATGTTGTCCAACAAAAGAGAACATTATAACCTTTTTACTCCACAACACCAGTCAAATGCTTCCTTTTGTGATCTGATGTGGCTTCTTGTCACAGAATGAGGCTACTTTAAAAAGAATACATTGATTAGCAATGGATTATAAATATACTTAATTATGAAAATACCAGAGATGGCTTGAATAACACCGGTAAACTATATTTTCGCAGTCGAGTGTTTATTGTCTTTGTTTTATCATTCAAAACGTTTATATGTTCTGTTTACTCAGTTACAGCTATAAAGGTGATGCCTTTGTCCATATGAGGGATTTCCTGGAGGGTCATGAGATCACAGCTACTTCTGTGACTGGATATGTGGATTTTCAGTGTGAGGGCGCCCCCTCTGGCATCCAGTATGAATGAAACCGACATCATGTGTTAATAGTGCTAATGGCCAATCATTCATTTTTTGGGGAATTTATTTATTTATTTTTTAATAAGTATCGGTTCAGGCACCGTTTAGGCACTGGAACCATTTTAAAAGTATCGATTTGGCACCGGTATTGAAAAAAAAAAAACTACTACCCAACCCTAATTGTGCCTGTTATGTGCTATTCACTTACACACTATTGCTACAGATGTGTTACTTTATACACTCTTCATGTCACAGTCCTGCAAAGACTGCAAAATGTGAGGGCAGTTGCGTTTTAGATCAGACATACAATCGTAAGTGTGACCTGGATGCTTCAATGTATGCCGAGTTTTTTTCCTAAAACTGATCCTGTCAGAAGAATTGCATGAAAATGTCTGTTCCGTCTGTATCATCTCATTGAACTTTTTTGAGGCTTTACGCATGCGCAGTAAAGCAAAATGTAAAATTTTCTGACGTTTCAGTGTGGATGAGAAACTTTTGGAAAACGCTAGTATGGACGGAGAGCGTTTTAAAATGAAAATGCCATTTTCAAATGTATCCGGATTAATGTAGACTTGGCATAAGAAACATTTATTATTATTATTATTATTATTATCAATCTTAAAAAAACAGTTGTGCTGCTTAATATTTTTGTGGAAATTAATATACTTTTTCCTGATTCTCGAGTAATTGACTGTGTTTTACGTTTCTCTAATGTATTAAATTATGTCAGCTTCACCAATTATGTGCTCTGATGATTATTACTGATTTTTTTTAAACATACAAGATCATAAAATTTCACTTAAACCAGGATCTAATTTTTGCCGTAAGAATCTTTGAACCTTGACAGAAGGTATGAACTTTTTTGAGGCTTTACGCATGCGCAGTAAAGCAAAATGTAAAATTTTCTGACGTTTCAGTGTGGATGAGAAACTTTTGGAAAACGCTAGTATGGACGGAGAGCGTTTTAAAATGAAAATGCCATTTTCAAATGTATCCGGATTAATGTAGACTTGGCATAAGAAACATTTATTATTATTATTATTATCAATCTTAAAAAAACAGTTGTGCTGCTTAATATTTTTGTGGAAATTAATATACTTTTTCCTGATTCTATGAATAGATTTCAAAAGAACAGCATTTATTTGAAAATTTAAATAACATTATCAACATCTTGTGTGATGACTTGAGACTTGATTAATGATTCATGACAATGATTCATGTGAATGCTGAATAAAAGAAAAATATGCACTTGCAATATATTATATTATATTATATTATATATTTCCATTTGCTCTTGTTGGCGTTCAGCAAAAGAAACAACTGACTTGTGAGATTTCATTCATGACATCTTTTTCTTATAGGAAACTGAAGAAAAAGATCACAAGAGATGCATTTGAAAAAGAGAGAGCGAGAGAATGAATCTTTAATCTTGCAAGAGAGTGTAAATCACCTATACGTCTCTCTCCAACAGAAACATCCAGTTAGCCGTTTAAAATTCCTCTCAGCACTAAATGAGGTATTTAAAACTTTGAGATTGGCAGGAGACGGGGATTATTCCCTTGTGATTGGCTCCTCTTTGCGGCTATGTGAGGAAAGGGACTGTACTTGAAACTTGTGTTTAGAGAAATTAACTGTGCATTTATTGTTCTTGTATCTTTTTGTTCTTTCATGTCTGATTTGCAGTCTTTGCACAAACATGGCCAAACCTCATAGGATAGATCTCTATTCACATTTAGGCATTTGATATTATACCTGGGTAACAAATAGTTCATGCCCCATAATTCAGCATTCTTCTTTTTTTTTTTTTTTAAACATTTTTATTGAAAACATACATGGAAGATAACATGAAAATTTAATTAAGCATTCTCATTGCCACTTTAGTTTAGTTTAAAATATAGATTGAATTAAATCCTAGATTGATTCTCAAGGGTCTGAAAATGAATTTCTGCTGCAACACCAGTGAATTATTTCAAGCCGTTTCATTTTAATTCATTATAGTTTCATGGTTTTCAACCAGTGTTCTACTGTAAACTGTGTATAAATTTATAAAATATATATAAATCAAGTTAAGCATAAAATAAGTATGGATTGTTTGGTTGTTGTTGTTTTTTTTTTGCCTTGTTTGAGTATCCTTTGTGATTTTAGGAGTAATTGACTGTGTTTTACGTTTCTCTAATGTATTAAATTATGTCAGCTTCACCAATTATGTGCTCTGATGATTATTACTGATTTTTTTTAAACATACAAGATCATAAAATTTCACTTAAACCAGGATCTAATTTTTGCCGTAAGAATCTTTGAACCTTGACAGAAGGTATGAACTTTTTTGAGGCTTTACGCATGCGCAGTAAAGCAAAATGTAAAATTTTCTGACGTTTCAGTGTGGATGAGAAACTTTTGGAAAACGCTAGTATGGACGGAGAGCGTTTTAAAATGAAAATGCCATTTTCAAATGTATCCGGATTAATGTAGACTTGGCATAAGAAACATTTATTATTATTATTATTATTATTATCAATCTTAAAAAAACAGTTGTGCTGCTTAATATTTTTGTGGAAATTAATATACTTTTTCCTGATTCTATGAATAGATTTCAAAAGAACAGCATTTATTTGAAAATTTAAATAACATTATCAACATCTTGTGTGATGACTTGAGACTTGATTAATGATTCATGACAATGATTCATGTGAATGCTGAATAAAAGAAAAATATGCACTTGCAATATATTATATTATATTATATATTTCCATTTGCTCTTGTTGGCGTTCAGCAAAAGAAACAACTGACTTGTGAGATTTCACTCATGACATCTTTTTCTTATAGGAAACTGAAGAAAAAGATCACGAGAGATGCATTTGAAAAAGAGAGAGCGAGAGAATGAATCTTTAATCTTGCAAGAGAGTGTAAATCACCTATACGTCTCTCTCCAACAGAAACATCCAGTTAGCCGTTTAAAATTCCTCTCAGCACTAAATGAGGTATTTAAAACTTTGAGATTGGCAGGAGACGGGGATTATTCCCTTGTGATTGGCTCCTCTTTGCGGCTATTGCACTGAAACTCCTTGATCATTTCACAGGAAATTACTTTGGGAGAATAGAGACACCATTCAGGCGGCAAGTGTCTTAGATTCACGTAACTACTTTCACTCCTGAACCTGTGATACAAACCAGCACTAACACTCTACTAATTTCATTGTACAATCAATCAATCACTTTTAAAGCCGATTAACTGGCTTGTTCAGTAAGTAGTAACTAGTTACTTGAAAAGTAAAAAACAAATAAACCTCTAAACAGTAGGGATGTGCATCTCATGACTGAGGCCGATACGATACGCATCTCGATGCATAGCCAACGATACGATACATATGAAGCAGCTACCGATGCGATGCGATACGATTCATCCCCTATTACGATGCAGTGCGATCCGATGCGATATGGAGAAAATATCACTTTTAATGCCTCGAGGCCTGTTTCATAAAACAAGTTAACCAAATAAGCCAGGCTTATTTCAGTTAGTTTGACTCATTGTCAAATGATTTGGTTCCATAAAGCAAATTTAACATAGGCCTTCATCCAGCTTAGTCACTGTGGCAACTTATGCTGGGTAACTAACCTGGTCTAAAGCAGGCTAACTGTCCGGCTAAGCTAAGCTCCTCTAACACTGACCAACAGGAACACAATGATATTACCACTGTCTCACATACTATTATTTGACCTTTTTTTTCTAGCCATGCAGCCTTTCTCTCTGGTTTTATGACAGTTGTACCTTTTATAGTTTGCAGAACATTAGAACATTACAATCTAAAATTGCTCTTTAAAGCATTAAAATAACTAAATTAAAAGTTAAAATCACTGAATTAAAAATGAAAATAAATAAAGAAAATGACTACATTTTAACTGCTATTAGAAACACACATTAACTCATTTGAGCTTAGTAATTAATACTGTAGCCTACTAGCTTACATTTGATTTACCCATTACAATAGTCCACGTACAGTTACTGCTATCATAAAAATACACTTTATATGTAGGTTTAAAATTCTACAAAAGACATTTAATGTCCAAAAACAAATTTTTTTGCAAAATGTATATTTTACTAATTATTGTGCTCCTATTCGATTGCGGTCAGTCTGTTTAGTGCGCATGCGTGCAGCTGCGCTCGTTGCTCTCACATGCCTCACCCACTCCTGACAGCAAAATGAATATGTTTGCATGACTTTCTAACATTTAGAGATGAAAAATATACCTGTGACATGTCAGTTATGCACAGAGAAAAACACAACGTCTCAAATGCATTAAACAGCACAGATATATTCGCTGTTTGTCATGGTGGATTGATTTGATCCATGATCGACATTAAGGTCTGCTTAAGAATAAGCGTGCACAAATTAGTGAGATTGCGTGAATTTAATTGGTCTTTAATGGAACAGCTTTAGCTCCGATTGATTTGTTAGGTTATTTCAAGTCAGGTTTTGGACTTTAATTCCAGTTTTTCTCAGGTCTCCGTGGTGTTGTGATGCGTCATATTCATGCAGCAGCAGTGATGAGAGAACGTGCTTGAGAAAGTTTAGAGAGGAGAAATCAATCTACATATAAAATATTGGTCACATATAATTGGTCACTTTCTAAATAATAAAAGTATAGCGCATCCACTAGTAATTATATATAAATAAATCGTTTTTTACCGATGCAAATATGTTAGAAACGATGCATCGCGATTTAATTGACAACTTGTAGCCGATGCACACTTTTTAAACCGATGCATCGCATCGTTAACTTTTTTACCGATGCAGCGAATCAGGGAATCTTCCCATCCTTACTAAACAGTATGTGGTATGTAATATTATGCTGGAAATATGTATTAATGTTTTTTTTTACTAATTATTGTGCTCCTATTCGATTGCGCTCAGTCTGTTTAGTGCGCATGTGTGCAGCTGCGCTCGTTGCTCTCACAACGATTAATCGCAACTAATCGCATCCAAAATAAAAGTATTTGTGTACATAATATGTGTGTTTACTGTGTATATTTATTATGTATATATAAATACACACACATGCATGTACAGGTGCATCTCTGAACCAAACTGAGAGATCATTTTGAAGGCTCAGGAAACCTTTGCAGGTGTTTTGAGTTGATTAGCTGATTGGCATGTCACCATATTCTAATTTGTTGAGATAGTGAATTGGTGGGTTTTTGTTAAATGTGAGCCAAAATCATTACAATTAAAAGAACCAAAGACTTAAACTACTTCAGTCTGTGTGCATTGAATTTATTTAATACACGAGTTTCACAATTTGAGCTGAATTACTGAAATAAATTAACTTTTCCACGACATTCTAATTTATTGAGATGCACCTGTATATATTTAAGAAAAATATATAATTTTTATATATCAAATATAATTATATATAATATAAATTATATGAATGAACAAATATATATATATATATATATTACACACACACACAAGTAAATATTTTCAATATATATACTGTATGTGTGTGTCTTTACATATGCATAATAAATAAACACAATGCACACACATATATTATATAAAAAAAACTTTTATTGTGGATGCGATTAATCGTTGCCCAGCACTAGATTTTTTTTGTTTGTTTTTTTTCTTTTTTTAAGACTAATACTTTTATTCAGCAAGGTTGGATTAAATCAGCTGATCAAAAGTGACAGTAAAGATTTATGATACAAAAGATTTCCGTTTTAAATAATCCTGTTATTTTAAACTTTTTATTCAAAGAACCCTAAAAGTCCTGAAAAATCTCAGTTTCTATTTCTCAGTAACTTTTTAACATTGATAAGAAATGTTTCATGATCACCAGATTAGCAGAATGATTTTTAAAGGATAATAACACTGAAGACTGGAATAATGGCTGCTGAAAATTCAGCTTTGCCATCACACTCTGAAATATTATTACAATTTAAAATGACTGTTTTCGATTTTAATGTATTTTACAGTATTACTGTATTTGATCAAATAAATGCAACCTAGTATATAGATAAATATATAAATAAAATCTTTTAAAAATATGTTTTATATATTTATTTTATTTGCCCATGTTTCATTTGTAATTTTCAGTCTATACACAAATTATACTTTTGATACATTGATAATATAAGCTACAATAAAAAGCATGTGCGCTAACTGCTAGTTCATAGCTCTAACCCACATTTACTTTACTTAACACACATACATACCTTAATGCCAACATAGTTGACTGGAATGATTGGGTTTTCTAGGGAGGGCAGACGAGACTCGTCCAGTGACTCACCCACCATGACCCTTGTAGCCACATCGATGAAGTCCACACCAATAGTTTTAGAGACGAAAGGGAAAGATCGAGATGCACGCAGGTTACACTCGATCACCTGAGACAGAAACACACGGTCCTGAGTAACCAGCAGACATATTCCACAAATTACAATAAAGCTGAATAAAACCTCAACAGCTTAGCATGATTCATTTCTTCCTTACTATGACCCAATGTTTTTCAGTAGAAAGCATAATTTACAGAGTAAATAAAGAAGAAAAAATGGAAAGTAGTTCTAATAACTCTGGATCAAAAATGTTTCTAAATATCGTCGGTTCACTGGCCATGAAAAAGTAATGTTCAGATTCGTATCTTTTAAAGTCACAGACACATTTTTCATTAAGCACCAATAACTTACCATTACATCATTGCCCTTCACCAAAAATTGAGTGTTAAATGGCCCTGAAATCTCAAACGCCTTTGCAATTTTCTGTGTAGCAGTTTTCACCTAAAATAAAAATATATATATAATAAAAATATATAAATAAAAACTTCAAGTAATAACTCAAAAGTCTTTACGTGCACACAGTCAGAAAACATCAATCACAGTGTGAGTTATGCATGTCCTCTCAAATATACAGCAATCAAATGTACATTTTAGGAAGCGCAGAAAGTTTAATATCAACTCTGATAAACCGAGGCAGCTGAAAAGAGAAGACTTTGATGGACTGCTGGCCCTCTCACTTTGCTGGGAATAAACACGTTTTGTCAGATTTGTTTTAAAAGGTGGATTTCACAAGCACACAGGCTATTTTTGACAGTCGGCTTTGATTCAGCTCATAGGAAAATGAAAAGTCACATCTGTGACTCATAAAATACACAATCAAGACCACACTGAAAGAAACGTTAGATTAAAAATGACACCAGCATATGTTTTGTGTAGCCAGATTTGATTTTCCTGCACAAATTGGATGTCACAGTAACAATGCAAATTTTAGTAATGGATGTTTCAGCATTATGTTTTTCATGAGGACAGAATCGCCACAGTCAAAAATGGGAAAAGGCACAATGTTTTAAAGACAACACCTAATGCAAAAACTTATTGTACAACAAATGGTGTACAAAAAAAATTGGATGAAGATTGAATAAATGTTAAAATGTGATGAAAAAGCAAAACAGCAAAAAATGTCTGCCTGGATAAGGTGCAAACCAGCTTCACACAGCAAGCTTTGTTGAATAAAAATGAAGTTGAGACCTTCTCCAGAGCTCCCTGGCTGATGGTCTGGGTGGGCAGTATGAGTGTGGCGTCTCCTGAGTGCACTCCTGCATCCTCCACATGCTCTGTGATAGCATGAACCAGCACCTGTAAGCACAACCATACTTAAGGCTGATTTTAAAACAGCTGTTTAGCTATCATTTATTTCAGCTCATTTTACTTTTGCATTTTTCAAATCATAGATAGCCTTGTGTGTTTGATTGCACTTTTCCCAACCATCCACTGATTGCAATGGTTGCAATGTGATACATTTTGAAAGTTTAGTTTAGTTGATGGTACTAACCTTTGTGTGTTATTGCAAAACAATATGCAAGTTTATGAATATACAAGATGAGACGAGCAATGACCTGTACCCTGAACTCCCAGTCACTTAAGCACTGAGTAATAGACTGTGGAAGTGAAATCAAGTCCTTAAGAGCTGGGACTAAAATGGACCATTTAGTTGCTCCTGTTAGCAAACATCAATTTCAAGGGGTAAGACTCATGTAATATGTTTTATGCAGAAAATTTTAGATGCGATTTAATAACTGATCACACACTGGAACTGGAATAGCTTCAGTTTAGGTGTGAGCAGTCGGATTTGTCCGTTTGTTCAGCCAAAAGGGATAGTTCAACCAAAAATGTCCATTCTGTCATCATTTATTCACCTTAACTTAACCGCTGACAGTAGTCATAGTTGACTTCCACAATATTTCTTCCATACTATGGAAGTCAATGGCTACCATGAACTGTTTGATTACCAACATTCTTCAAAATATATTCTTTTGTGTTCAACAGAAGCAAGAAACTTCTGGAACAACATGAGGCTAAGTAAATGATGACAATTTTCATCACACTTTATTTTAAGGTTCAATTCCCACTATTAAACTATTGCCTATGACTTTTGCCTCAAACTCTTAATTACTGCTTGTTCATAGTTAGTAAGGTAGTAGTCTCAGCCTCAGATGTCACGCCCACGGACCGTTGGCTGAACGTCTGATGCATATGGCACACAAAAGTGGAAAAACTTCAGGAGTTTTGAAGTCGGCATCGGATTGGTTGAATTATACAGGATTTCCGGGAGACGTGTGTGTCTCGTTCTTTAACGTTCCGCCTGGAAACAAAGATGTCGTGGCGCTAAACCCTCTCACGAAAGAAGAAAGCTGCAGTGTTTACAACTGTGATGACGAGCACTTATCAGGATCAAATAAATGCTGGATTCTCAAAAGTATGTGAAATATTTAGTTCACGGCATAGAATCTTTAAAAAACGTCCGAGAGTTTTACACACCGGCCTGTTATTGTGGCGACATTTCCACGCCCTGAAACGTGACACTGAAACGAAACGAACTGTGATTGGTTGTTTGACATGTCGGTCAAAAAAAACTGCCATGGATTCCAGACCTTCAGCCGTCAGTCTGAAGGTCTGGCTATGCGAGACTAGCAAGGTAGCTGTTAAATTCAGGTACTGGATAGGATTAAAGGAATAGTTCATCCAAAAATTAAGATTGTCAATTTACTCACCCTCATGTCGTTCCAAACCTGTAAGTTACTTTCTTATGTTGAACAAAAGAAGATCATCTGAAAAATGCTGGTAATCAAACAGTTGTTGGTCCCCATTGACTTCCATAGTAGGGAAGTCAATGGGGACCAACAACTGTTTGAACCAGCATTCTTCAAAATATCTACTTTTATGTTCAACATAAGAAAGTAACTTACAGGTTTAGAATGACATGAGGGTGAATAAAGGATGACAATTTTGGTTGTCCTTTTTTGGTGAAATATCCCTTTAAGGGATGTAGAATATGGTTATGAGTAATATGTGCTTTATAAGTACCAACAAACAGCAAATATGTTAGTAATATGCCTGCTAAAAAGCAACTAGTTGATAGTGACAATTGGTCCCTAAACTAAAGTCTTACCCAATTTTCATTTTTGAGTGAACTATTGCTTTAAGATTATAATCACTTCAGTGCAAAAACACATTAAAATCCTAATTTTACTTACCACAAAAATTATGTGATAAAGCCGTGATGAAACAAAAAGAGAAGGAACATACTAACAAGCATTTTTTTTAGACTGAAGCAGACTGAGCCATCTTTTATTTTTGAACTGTTTTTTTTTTTTTGGTCATCTTGTTTTTGTGTGTGGGTGTGTGGGATAGCATAATGTTCTCAAAAGTCTTACACAACAAATTGTATCATCTACACAATCAAACCACCGCAACATGGACAGTTTCAATCAAAATCTATTGTTCCATATTCTACGTTCAGATTTCCATTTAGTGCCTGATATAGTAATTTTACTAATTTTACACATTTTCTGTTGGAAAAATATTCTAGCATCTCTCACCTTGCCCATTTTGGCCACTGCATCCACCTCCACTTCTCTGGCACCTCGGACGAATTTAGTGATGACCACAGGATGATCCTGTTCCCAAGAAAATGCCGTAAATAACACTGTTGCTAAAAAAAAACTTTTATTGTGGATGCGATTAATCGTTGCCCAGCACTAGATTTTTTTTGTTTGTTTTTTTTTCTTTTTTTAAGACTAATACTTTTATTCAGCAAGGTTGGATTAAATCAGCTGATCAAAAGTGACAGTAAAGATTTATGATACAAAAGATTTCCGTTTTAAATAATCCTGTTATTTTAAACTTTTTATTCAAAGAACCCTAAAAGTCCTGAAAAATCTCAGTTTCTATTTCTCAGTAACTTTTTAACATTGATAAGAAATGTTTCATGATCACCAGATTAGCAGAATGATTTTTAAAGGATAATAACACTGAAGACTGGAATAATGGCTGCTGAAAATTCAGCTTTGCCATCACACTCTGAAATATTATTACAATTTAAAATGACTGTTTTCGATTTTAATGTATTTTACAGTATTACTGTATTTGATCAAATAAATGCAACCTAGTATATAGATAAATATATAAATAAAATCTTTTAAAAATATGTTTTATATATTTATTTTATTTGCCCATGTTTCATTTGTAATTTTCAGTCTATACACAAATTATACTTTTGATACATTGATAATATAAGCTACAATAAAAAGCATGTGCGCTAACTGCTAGTTCATAGCTCTAACCCACATTTACTTTACTTAACACACATACATACCTTAATGCCAACATAGTTGACTGGAATGATTGGGTTTTCTAGGGAGGGCAGACGAGACTCGTCCAGTGACTCACCCACCATGACCCTTGTAGCCACATCGATGAAGTCCACACCAATAGTTTTAGAGACGAAAGGGAAAGATCGAGATGCACGCAGGTTACACTCGATCACCTAAGACAGAAACACACGGTCCTGAGTAACCAGCAGACATATTCCACAAATTACAATAAAGCTGAATAAAACCTCAACAGCTTAGCATGATTCATTTCTTCCTTACTATGACCCAATGTTTTTCAGTAGAAAGCATAATTTACAGAGTAAATAAAGAAGAAAAAATGGAAAGTAGTTCTAATAACTCTGGATCAAAAATGTTTCTAAATATCGTCGGTTCACTGGCCATGAAAAAGTAATGTTCAGATTCGTATCTTTTAAAGTCACAGACACATTTTTCATTAAGCACCAATAACTTACCATTACATCATTGCCCTTCACCAAAAATTGAGTGTTAAATGGCCCTGAAATCTCAAACGCCTTTGCAATTTTCTGTGTAGCAGTTTTCACCTAAAATAAAAATATATATATAATAAAAATATATAAATAAAAACTTCAAGTAATAACTCAAAAGTCTTTACGTGCACACAGTCAGAAAACATCAATCACAGTGTGAGTTATGCATGTCCTCTCAAATATACAGCAATCAAATGTACATTTTAGGAAGCGCAGAAAGTTTAATATCAACTCTGATAAACCGAGGCAGCTGAAAAGAGAAGACTTTGATGGACTGCTGGCCCTCTCACTTTGCTGGGAATAAACACGTTTTGTCAGATTTGTTTTAAAAGGTGGATTTCACAAGCACACAGGCTATTTTTGACAGTCGGCTTTGATTCAGCTCATAGGAAAATGAAAAGTCACATCTGTGACTCATAAAATACACAATCAAGACCACACTGAAAGAAACGTTAGATTAAAAATGACACCAGCATATGTTTTGTGTAGCCAGATTTGATTTTCCTGCACAAATTGGATGTCACAGTAACAATGCAAATTTTAGTAATGGATGTTTCAGCATTATGTTTTTCATGAGGACAGAATCGCCACAGTCAAAAATGGGAAAAGGCACAATGTTTTAAAGACAACACCTAATGCAAAAACTTATTGTACAACAAATGGTGTACAAAAAAAATTGGATGAAGATTGAATAAATGTTAAAATGTGATGAAAAAGCAAAACAGCAAAAAATGTCTGCCTGGATAAGGTGCAAACCAGCTTCACACAGCAAGCTTTGTTGAATAAAAATGAAGTTGAGACCTTCTCCAGAGCTCCCTGGCTGATGGTCTGGGTGGGCAGTATGAGTGTGGCGTCTCCTGAGTGCACTCCTGCATCCTCCACATGCTCTGTGATAGCATGAACCAGCACCTGTAAGCACAACCATACTTAAGGCTGATTTTAAAACAGCTGTTTAGCTATCATTTATTTCAGCTCATTTTACTTTTGCATTTTTCAAATCATAGATAGCCTTGTGTGTTTGATTGCACTTTTCCCAACCATCCACTGATTGCAATGGTTGCAATGTGATACATTTTGAAAGTTTAGTTTAGTTGATGGTACTAACCTTTGTGTGTTATTGCAAAACAATATGCAAGTTTATGAATATACAAGATGAGACGAGCAATGACCTGTACCCTGAACTCCCAGTCACTTAAGCACTGAGTAATAGACTGTGGAAGTGAAATCAAGTCCTTAAGAGCTGGGACTAAAATGGACCATTTAGTTGCTCCTGTTAGCAAACATCAATTTCAAGGGGTAAGACTCATGTAATATGTTTTATGCAGAAAATTTTAGATGCGATTTAATAACTGATCACACACTGGAACTGGAATAGCTTCAGTTTAGGTGTGAGCAGTCGGATTTGTCCGTTTGTTCAGCCAAAAGGGATAGTTCAACCAAAAATGTCCATTCTGTCATCATTTATTCACCTTAACTTAACCGCTGACAGTAGTCATAGTTGACTTCCACAATATTTCTTCCATACTATGGAAGTCAATGGCTACCATGAACTGTTTGATTACCAACATTCTTCAAAATATATTCTTTTGTGTTCAACAGAAGCAAGAAACTTCTGGAACAACATGAGGCTAAGTAAATGATGACAATTTTCATCACACTTTATTTTAAGGTTCAATTCCCACTATTAAACTATTGCCTATGACTTTTGCCTCAAACTCTTAATTACTGCTTGTTCATAGTTAGTAAGGTAGTAGTCTCAGCCTCAGACGTCACGCCCACGGACCGTTGGCTGAACGTCTGATGCATATGGCACACAAAAGTGGAAAAACTTCAGGAGTTTTGAAGTCGGCATCGGATTGGTTGAATTATACAGGATTTCCGGGAGACGTGTGTGTCTCGTTCTTTAACGTTCCGCCTGGAAACAAAGATGTCGTGGCGCTAAACCCTCTCACGAAAGAAGAAAGCTGCAGTGTTTACAACTGTGATGACGAGCACTTATCAGGATCAAATAAATGCTGGATTCTCAAAAGTATGTGAAATATTTAGTTCACGGCATAGAATCTTTAAAAAACGTCCGAGAGTTTTACACACCGGCCTGTTATTGTGGCGACATTTCCACGCCCTGAAACGTGACACTGAAACGAAACGAACTGTGATTGGTTGTTTGACATGTCGGTCAAAAAAAACTGCCATGGATTCCAGACCTTCAGCCGTCAGTCTGAAGGTCTGGCTATGCGAGACTAGCAAGGTAGCTGTTAAATTCAGGTACTGGATAGGATTAAAGGAATAGTTCATCCAAAAATTAAGATTGTCAATTTACTCACCCTCATGTCGTTCCAAACCTGTAAGTTACTTTCTTATGTTGAACAAAAGAAGATCATCTGAAAAATGCTGGTAATCAAACAGTTGTTGGTCCCCATTGACTTCCATAGTAGGGAAGTCAATGGGGACCAACAACTGTTTGAACCAGCATTCTTCAAAATATCTACTTTTATGTTCAACATAAGAAAGTAACTTACAGGTTTAGAATGACATGAGGGTGAATAAAGGATGACAATTTTGGTTGTCCTTTTTTGGTGAAATATCCCTTTAAGGGATGTAGAATATGGTTATGAGTAATATGTGCTTTATAAGTACCAACAAACAGCAAATATGTTAGTAATATGCCTGCTAAAAAGCAACTAGTTGATAGTGACAATTGGTCCCTAAACTAAAGTCTTACCCAATTTTCATTTTTGAGTGAACTATTGCTTTAAGATTATAATCACTTCAGTGCAAAAACACATTAAAATCCTAATTTTACTTACCACAAAAATTATGTGATAAAGCCGTGATGAAACAAAAAGAGAAGGAACATACTAACAAGCATTTTTTTTAGACTGAAGCAGACTGAGCCATCTTTTATTTTTGAACTGTTTTTTTTTTTTTGGTCATCTTGTTTTTGTGTGTGGGTGTGTGGGATAGCATAATGTTCTCAAAAGTCTTACACAACAAATTGTATCATCTACACAATCAAACCACCGCAACATGGACAGTTTCAATCAAAATCTATTGTTCCATATTCTACGTTCAGATTTCCTTTAGTGCCTGATATAGTAATTTTACTAATTTTACACATTTTCTGTTGGAAAAATATTCTAGCATCTCTCACCTTGCCCATTTTGGCCACTGCATCCACCTCCACTTCTCTGGCACCTCGGACGAATTTAGTGATGACCACAGGATGATCCTGTTCCCAAGAAAATGCCGTAAATAACACTGTTGCTAAAAAAAAGTCTCTTAAGAATACTGCAAAGGGCATCGAAAATACTGTATTTAAAATCTGATTCAAAGGGCCTTTCAAGGCTATAGCTGTACATTAACAAGGACAGAGTGTTTGTGAAGTGCTTCCCAGAATTGTTAACAGTCTCTTACAGCCACACCAACCTGAGCCTCATGCAGCACAGGGTCATTCTGTTACTTAAGTGAATAAAAGCATAATGCTTTGCAGAACTAAACCCTTCCATCCAGCACCTGCCTGAAAGACCTGTCTCTATTGCAATCTTATAATATCCATTAGTCATTTCACTGGCATTATAAGGCAAGCTGACAGACACTAAAATACGAATTTAGGTGGGAAAGTGAAGCTTTTAGGCTTTTAGATTTTCATTGAATGAGGTACTGATGTACAGACGCAGATATTGATTATGTCAGCCTTTCACACCATTTAGTTGACCTGTGTGGCAGTTGTATTGATCTACAGTAAATAACAGGATGACCCTTTCGCGTGTATGTGGCTTGAATACCAAGAAATTAATTGCATTTTAAAATATATTTAAATAGAAAATATTTTACTGTTATTACTGTTTCACTGTGTTTTTGAACAAATAAATGCAACCTTAGTGAGCAAGCTTCTTCTGGTCCCCAAACTTTTGAACAGTAGTATACAGAGAGTATGGAGAGACAGAATAAATAGTAAATACACTCATCTCTACCTGATGAAAGATGAACAAAAGCTAATTGAGTGCTGGAGAACATTATGTGTTCAGCTCAAGCCTTTTCATTTTACCAGAGCCATAAAAGGGTTCACAACTCTCTATAAATCTATATATATCATTGATCTGCACTGTTATAGGACTGTGAAGTAAAAGACCTCATGAAATCACGGTTGGAGTTCTGTGGCTTTTAGTTCACATCTGTTAGCATAGAGGCTGTCTATATGTCAAAGTCAGAAAATTTAACTTTTAGCATATTTTTTTCACAAATTAACAGTATTTGACTTTTAGCTAAATGGACTACAACATTGAATTAATTAGTGGAGGCATTGCTAAAATGCATTCAACCATTGATGAGGCATTTATCTTTATTTAACAACCTGCTATGCTTCCCAGTAGAAAAAAAAATGATTTTATGAAAATATTGCCGTGTGCTGCAATACTTCAGTAGTTCTCTATATCCTGTATCTACAAGTCTGAATAATTTACAAGCTCGACAATATAAAATCTAATTAAATTTATTTTTGCTAGTGATGGTAATTAAAAAAAATTATGGTGAAAATAATACTCAATATCTTTCCTTATGTACTCAGGAATGGCTCAATGATGGTGACAGTGATGGTAAAGCGGTTTTGCTTGACTCAGGAAAACTACTGCACTTTTAAGTGAAAAACTTTAAGGGGCAGCAGGAACAGATGAAAATCAATACTGGCTCTGAGGTACAGAAAAACTGGAGCTGCTGGAAATGTGCTTGGTCTGGTCTGTTTTTAAAAAATAAAAAGCTCTTTAGGGCATGTTTTCCTAAAGGGTGTGTATAGACAGGATGAAATGTAATTTCAAGAACATCATTCATTTGTGATAATGGCTAAAAAGGCAGCATGTTACATAATTCATGACTGAGCTTTTGCATGATTCATGTGGCAAAACTACTCACCTCAGAACATAGGATGGCCGCAGGAGGCAAGGGTAGCCCACGGTACTGGCAAAAGAAACAGCATCCTCCTGAAAAAGACAAAGTTAGATATCTCTTTGCAATCAGCTGCACGGCATCACCTAGTATGTGTTGAAGATTAGGTCAGGCTTCTTGTGCTCTGTTCTCCTTTTGAATACCAGACTGTGGGCAAAGGGCCTGACAATTACCATTGACCACATCTATTCACCTTACTTTTAATGCTTTGTGAACTGGCTACTTCACAGAGAGAAAAACTATAAGATTGAACAACCCTGTATTGGAGCAAACGGTTATTAGCAAGTGGAATTATCTTTTGCCAAATGTATTGGAGAAAATACTGCCTAACTAAAGCTAAAATGCATCCATAAAAGCATTATATTGTACAAATCTAACATTAAAATTAACATCCAAGTATCCATTTGAGAGCTTACAGTATAGGGGTGGATCAACAACAACAAAAAAAATCTAATTTCATCTGTACCTCATACCTCCAGTTAAGTACATTACTTAACATTTTTGTAAGTCAACCCAAAAGTTAGCATCACCCCATTTCCTTCAATAAAAAGACAGGCTACCAGTTGGCTTATTGGAGTTAGAATAGTTTGCAAGAAACACTAGGAGGCTGTAAAATACATACTAATAAGTGGATATTTTGGAGAGTTGGAGTGGAGATGAGTGGAGAGTTTTTCTGTTTGGCATGATGATGTTAATAATATCTAACCGATTTATTTTAATTTGTAGTATAAAATATTACATATTTTTAAGTTATCCACAGACCTTATTTTGGGCATTTAACCAAAACCCATTCTAAAAACCTAATGACTTTCAGAGAATTCTTTAATCTTTTATTTTGCTAAGCTCATCTTTTTTGTACGACTAATTCTCCAACACAATTCAATTGAAAGAAAACCCATTGACTTTGGGACAATGGAACCATAAATGCAAAAATACTAACTAGTTTCTGAGTTTTAGGACTCGTTCCTACAGCACTCTATTGTAAAGCTTTAAAAAATTTGGAATACACTGCATGTGATGTTTGAACTACTTTTATGGTGCTTTTTTATTTTTTGTAAATTATATGGAAAACAGGAGTGCAGGTTTGGAACGACACAGCGATGACTAAATGCTGACTGAATTTTTTTATTTTCAACCGTAACATTATGAAGCGACAAGAATATTTTTGTACGCGAAGAAAACAAAAATAACAACTTTATTCAACAATTCGTCTCCTCTGTCTCTCCGCATCACTGTAGCGCCATTTTGGAGAATATCTGCTGAATGCAAGCAGTGTACGCTCTTCTGTGTCAGCCGCGAAACAAGGATATGTTTTCTATGTGTATTTACACTTTGATTTGAACGAAAATAGCACATCCGTGCAGTGCAGCTGACACAGAAGAGCGTACGCTGCTTGCGTCCAGTGGTACGATGTCTTTCATACTTTCCTGGACCTTGACAGTGTAAATTACTTGGCAGTCAATCGGACAGTCACAAGCCTCCCGGTTTTCATCCAAAATATCTTAAATTGTGTTCCTTAGACGAACGAAGCTTTTAGGGGTTTGGAACAACATGGGGGTAAGTGATTAATGACAAAATTTTCATTTTGGGGTGGAGTATCCCTTTAAGTTTGAACCTATATACCTCCATATTAATAACAGTCAGAGTAATTCACGATCCGTAAACTCTCAGGCATTGGCTATTGTCTCTATTTTGGGTATGTCCTTTATGCCCGCCTTGCCAAAATGTGGGGAGCTTGAAAAGGGGTTAAAATATTTTAAAGCTGAATTTTCGGGAGTCATTACTCCAGTCTTTGGCATCACATGACACTTTAGAAATCTAATATACTAATTTGGTGCTTAGGAAACATTTCTAATTATTATTGCAATTGACAACAGTTGTGCAGCTTCATTTTTTCCAGGATTCTTTGGTAAATAGAGTTCAAAAGTTCAAATGAACAATTTATTTGAAACAGAATTTTTATTGTAACAGTGTGTCTTTACTGTCACTTTCCAGCAGTTTAATGCATCCTAGCTGAATTAAAGTATTCATTTGTTTACAAAAACCCTTACTGACCTCAAACTTTTGAATAGTAGTGTAGTAGTGCATTTACATGGTGCAATTGAGACCCACCTTAGTCTTTGCGACACAAAGGCATTGATCCACCAGTGAAAATGACTACTGTATTTAGACAATCTTACAGCTCAAATAATAAAGTTTTTACTGCCTAAATTGACGCACTTTGACAAAAAAGCTTACATTTCTGTTTTAAATTTCTGCTTTCGTTGTATGCACTGTAAATGCACATCCTGTCCTGTTTTACAAACTGACGGAGACTAAATGGTCTGTAATAAATCTACACCATGACAAAATTACTGTCAATAGGCATTCATTATAATATTTCTATAAAGCCCAATTATTCCTTTCAGTAATCATACATCTACCAAATGACAAGTGCTTTTTATAATTACAGTTTCAACTCTACAATTTAACATATGACTGATTGTATCCGTCCATGACCAAAGAATACAAATAGAGCTACTTATGAATTCAATAAGGCTTGCTTCATCCTCTAATACGACAGAAAATTTGTTTTAAGCAAAGTTTTTAATCCGAGTGCTGTTTGAACAGAAATGACTATAATCATTTCTCATTCATTGCATGAATTCACAATGATTTGGCATTGCTCAATCTAGACTCTCATCCGCTGATGTTGTCTTTCTCTCCGTTTCAGGGATGAGCTGTGGACCCAGGAGCTGACCCTGGGACATGACATGGCATTATTTTACGGTCTGAGAGCGGTCATATATCTTCTGATCCCATTCATCACGTTCCGATGGCAACCACATGTATGCGTACTTCAACATTCATACACGGTTCCCTCCAGGTTTATCAGAGCACGCTAACGTGATGGTAATAAACTGCTACACAGCACCTGGGAATTTATTACAACCTCTGAGCATAACAACAAACACTTGATCAACCCATGCTTTAATCACCACTTTAATTAGCTTATAATGTGTCTGAATGGAAAAGTCAATGGCTGTTAAAGAGGTCAGGTTTTGCATCGTCAGTGAAGACTTTAGTGGCTCCATCTCTATAAAGGGACTAGAAATGAGCTCACCACACACCGCTTAGATGCATAGAGGCATTTCCTGGTCTAGGTCTGAAGCTGCATAAAACAGCATTATTTTCTCTGTATAGAGAACATTCTCACAATATAAATTTGAATCTTTTCACCCAGAGGTTGTTAAAGGTGTCATATGATGCAATTTCAATTTTTCCTTTCTCTTTGGAGTGTTACAAGCT